CACACACACACACACACACACACACACACACACACACACACACAACATCATAGCCTTTTTCCTTGGGCAGCTCGTAATAAATATACTAATCTAAACCATATATCCATTCTGCTACTTTTACAAAGTTCGCACAACTTTTTATTTCTCTCCTACGCAGTAACAAAGACAAAACCTGAAGTTGTACTCAAAGTATATGAGAAAGGTTGTCTGTGAGAGCTGATTTATACGCATCTTATTTTATTTAAAATCTAAATCTACATGAAACYGTTTTGCTTTTGCATTCTGAGATAACCACTTTCTACTTTTCGATTCTGCTCCATCTCTCCTCAAGTATAATTTCAGAGATAAATATGGCTATTACCATCACAGTTTTCTGTCTCTCTGCTGTGCAAATCATCAAAGTAAAGTTTCACAGGCAGAAGTGAATAACTCGTTTTCAATTTCTGCTTCTCTCCTCCATTAGTCGTCCGCATCCTCAGCCTCCTGGCTGCGCTGCTGTTGCCAGCCTCCTCGTGCCCACCTTCCTGCGTCTGCTCTTCAGAAAGCCTGGCGGTGGACTGCGGGGACCGCGGACTCTCCTCCCTCCCTCCACTCCACCTTTTGCCTCCAGGGAGCCGCTCCTTACTGCTGGTCAACAACAAACTCGCCTCGCTGGGAGCCTCAGCCTTCGCCAACCTCTCCTCCCTGGAGGTCTGCAGCCTTATTTATCTTCGTTAGAAAAAGTTGTCCTGTTTTCTCAACTTTACTGTATTTTAAAATAATCTCAAGACAAACAAATAGCTTTGACTTTGTTGATCATGTTGTAGATAATATTGGTAAGTAAGAAAAAGGTGGATATCAAGTTCACAAATACTAACAATAAAACATGCATGTCTTTAAAAAAAGCTACATCAATTGGAAATCTTTTCACTATTAATGTAAGGTTTAAGCCTTCATTGAGTTACTGTAACTAAAAATCCAAACTTTGTGTTAAATGTGCATTAAGTTCTTAAAATGTTAAAGGGGAGGGGTATAATGCAAAACGGACTTTTTTGAGCTTTATATCATATTATAATGTCCCCCATCAAAAACATACCCAGAGTGTTGCTTTGACTCATTCATGCATGTTTGAGAAAACCGTGAATTTACTTTAGTGGCCATTTGGAGCTGCCTAAACGCCTGATGGTACAAAGCACCACCTATTTGTACATAGCTCCTCCCTCTGCCCAAAAGAGTACTCTTGCCCTAAAGTATTGTTTGAAAATGTACTGAAGTGGGAGTGTCCAAAATGGTAGGAGGTTCTTACAGAGACAGAGGCCAATTTTCAAGCTGCTTGAAAGTGCCCCCCACCCTCCCCAAAACCTTAAAAATGAAAAACACTACATATTCAGCTCATCTTCATCACCAGGTTATAGTGGTACTTAAGAAAAATAAAAAGAACAAAGGACATCTAAAAACTGCTTATTCAAAATCATCTTTAGTCAACAATACAGATTCTCAGCTGCAGGTTTAGTTGAAAATGTTCTTCAATGTTTTTCCGATTTTCCAATTTCCTAGAAAATGGCAAACAGCTTGTCTAACACGCCGAGTAATGTCAAGCTACGTGCTGCAACAAGAATATTTCAAATGGGCAGCAGCCACTAAATGTYAAACCCTGGATTACCAAATCTCAGCTTGGTCTCTGGTGATTGTATTTGAAAAATCAAATGCCCTTTCTAATGGAACCTAATTAGAGAAGTGTCAGACTGGAGCTGCAGACTGAATTAGGTATGCTAAGTGTTGAACTGTCTGATTTCTGGCAAGTGGAGCTGAGCAGACTGGTCTTTTTTTTTTAGGATGTGATAACCCTCTTACCTTTTTTATTATTTGAAAAGATACTGAAAGTGGAAATGTTTTTGTGTCTTTCAGGAGTTGGACCTCTCCAATAACTACCTGGATAATTTACCCGCTGGATTATTTAGAGACATGTCCAACTTAACAAGACTGTCTCTACACAACAACTCATTGACAGTCATGGACAGAGAGCTCTTCCAGGTAGGTACTGAACACTAGGAGGCACCATATAATACAAATATGTGTATTATGTCCCCTTCAAAAAGCAAAGAAGACCATATCAGATCAATCAGTCCACAACATTCTGYAAATATGCAAAGAAGGCTTAACGAKGCATTGTTCTGAACAGAWTTACTCACATCTGGACTACCCCTTATAGATAAAYTAGTAACAAACCATTTGCTCAGCACTTAACGCTTTTATCACCACGGAGCTCATGTCACGATGACTTAACTTTGGAAAACACATTAGACAAGTTTAGCCCATTAAATGATGCTACAGTAGCAGCAGATAAGCAGAAAAGCTGTTGGGTCCGACATTGTCTGTTGTGTTCAAAGAACTGGTTTTGATGTTTCTTTAGGGTTTAGGTGGTCTTCAAAGCCTGGACTTGTCATTAAACGGTCTATCCACAGTTCCAATAGGCCTTCTGGACGAGCTGCAGAGCCTCAGGTGAACAAACACTAAGCACTTTTTAATAGATGCTCTTAAAGACACTTACCGTTAAACAAATGTATCTAGTCATTCTGGTTTCAGTAAGTAATGTCTTGTTTTTTTAGATAAACGCCTGATTATCTTAAAGTGTTTCTATTTCCTCCTAGGTGGCTCTCACTGGCAGGTAATAGGCTTCATGGTTTGGAGAGGGCAGCGTTTGAGCCGCTGGCCAACCTGCAGCACCTGGAACTGGGACACAACCCCTGGGAGTGCGACTGCAACCTCCGAGACTTCAAACACTGGATGGAGTGGCTGCTGTATCGAGGTGGACTTTTGATTTATGTTACAAGGGTTTTTCTGCTCCGTTTAGATTAGAGACAAAGGGAAGTTGAAAGAGCGGCCGTAAAACAAAACAAAAATATTAGACGTAGACGTGTCTGGATGTGGAGTATGCCCCAACCCTCTAGCCATTAAATGTGACTATACGGTTCTGTTATCGCTGCTCGTCGTCGTTCTGCACGCCACATCCATGCGTCTCTGCAGGCTGTTATTGCAGCTGATAACCACAGCTGCTCTCTGCTTTCTCCTCGTGTGTAAAAATCTACATTCACCTCGGTGCCTGGGGCCTCAGCTGCTCCCGCTAATGAAGCATCTCTTCTTCTCTCGTCTGCTTCGCTCCGCTCTCGCTCAGTTCTTCAGACGGGGACTGACGCGCGGTAGACGCGATAATTTAATAATCATCAGAGCAGCGGTGGAAATTACGAGGAGGCCTTTCATAGTTGAACATGAAATCACGACAGTAGCTGTTTAAAGAAGCATACGATGCACACATCGAGAAGAAAGAGCGTAAAAAGGCTTGTGGACRTTGGTTTTCAGAGGGGGCTAAATCTTCCCTCTCTAATTCTGTCTCTTTATTATCCTCACCATTTATCACAGTGTTTTCATTACTTAGCCTATTTGAGGACAGATCAATAGCTTTGAGTGTGACCTTGAGGTGGACACCATATTTGGAAGCGAATATAGCCTGGGATAACAAAGCCCCCACCCTCATGTCGCTGATGGGAATTAGTGACTCAKACATTTCATCTTTTCCACCCCAGAGCTGAGTTGAAGCTTGACATGTCGTCTCATGAAATAGACAAGGGCTTACTGAGGCAATCTTAGTGCAGAGAGTGTGGCACATGTTAAAGTGATGGATGACTCATGCAAGGGTTGGAATGACAACCCCTCTTCCCCCCCRCCATGGTTGGTTAATTAGGGACACTTTCCAGGTTAAAGCCAGTATTTTTGATGACCTCRTCTCTCTCCTTCAGGGGGCAAAGTGGACGCGGTGGAGTGCACGCTGCCCAAGGATCTGCGCGGGAGAGACATCCGGGGCGTCCCCGTGGAGATGTTCAACTACTGCCTCCAGCTCGAAGATGAGAACGGAGGCGGCGAGGGCGCCCGACCCAGACAAGGAGGCGGCCCCCCGTGCAGCAGGAGCGCTCTTAACCCGAGCGGGGCCACACCGGTCTCCGACAACGGTGGCGAGGACTCCTCCTCGAGCACCGGAGGAGGCGGGGAGGCCCCGGCGGATTGCGTCCGTGCCCGCTACCGGCCCGTGAGCGTGCGCCGCGCCATCGGCACGGTGGTGATCGCCGGGGTGGTGTGCGGCATCGTTTGCATCATGATGGTCGCCGCCGCCGCTTACGGCTGCATCTACGCTTCTCTAATGGCCAAATACCAGAGAGAGCTGAAGAAGAGACAGCCGCTAATGGGAGATGGAGAGGCGGATGGGGAGGACAGGGAGGAGAAACAGATCTCCTCTGTGGCCTAAATTTAAAAAAACTGGGTTTTAGGGCAGGGGGCTTTAGCATGTCGACGTGTGAAAGCAATGAAAGTATAAAGGGCTCAAAGGGAGAGGGATGGAAAAGCTGGTTTTAAACTCAGTTATAGTATCTCTCCCTCTGACTCTCAAACTGACATCTCTCTCCCATTTTTTTGTCTTCCCTTTATCCATCCTCTAGTCTATTTTTACCCTGCTCCTACTTCATCCCATCTAACAACCCCCCCACCCACACCCCCCACACACACACACATGCACCTTATCTGCTCCCTGATTTTTTTCGCTCCAATTCTGGACCCATTCTCTCTGCAGTATTTGTTACCAATCATCCCTCCAAGTCGCCTACCAGCCACCTACTTGCAGCTGAATTTTGCCATTATTCTGGCTGGTGAGAAACACATCATTAAAGCTGTTCTAAAACACTCATGCTGTATGTTCAGTCTGTATTTGTAGACTGAAAATTCAGGGATTCATAGCATGTGTTGACGAGTTAATTGGACCAACGATCACGTCGATTACTAAAAATCTGTGCCATCTCCGAAGCCAGCAGTCACTCAAGTAAACCCCCAGCTTGAAACTTCTTTTAATTTGTTTTCTGGTCTTTCTTTCTCGACACCCAAGGATGATGTTAGGAAGTATAGGAAATGGGGGGAATGTTGATGGAAAATCGAAACACAAAGCTGCAACAAATAAGCCTCTCTCAAAGGGGCTCTAAAACATGCAAATGGACGATGACGTGCTAATGGGGAAAGCCTTCCCAAAGGTTGCACGGTGAAGGACGTGCGTTGACTTTGATCTTTCGTGGACAACATCAGGACAATGAGGAACACGCAGTAGCATTTGTCTGCAGTTTGAGTGTGTTCTTCAGAGAAAAACCTGTCATTTGATGCTTGTAAAAGTATTACGATGAACTTCTGGACAGAGAAGCTGATATCACCAAGAAAAAGTGACATTTACGCTTCTGGGTCAGTTTTTGCCACTGATGGACTGCAGCAGTTATTTTATATTCACCCTCAAAAGGTGAAGGTTTGCTACAAAAGCATGAAAAAAAAAAAAAAACTCTCAGCGGACTCCCTCTCCAATCAAGGACTACAAAATCCATCCAAGGACTACAAATGTCAGACTCCTGCACTTTAGTCTCAACCTCCCCCTGACCTCTTTCTCCCTCCTTCTCTACTTTTGTTCCTTTCAAAGACGGACGAAAACCTCAGAGGGATTTTAAAGAAAAGGGGGATGAAAAGAAGCTGCTATTTATCCACTCTCTCATCTTTTGTTATTTTTCTATCCATCTGTACACCGCTTAAAACTTTACTTTTATCCGTCTCTCATCCTCTTAAGAAAACGTCTGCAATATGCAATGAAAGTTGTACCAACACTGAAGATTGTCTGTTAAAACAATGCTCACGCATTAGATTTGTAGTAAAAAAAATGTTTTAAGTGTTTTTATTACCATCTGAAATCTTGAAATAAACTTTAACAGCTTCTGATGCACAGAAATATAAAGTTGTCCCTGGAGTGATCTAAGTAGCATTCATTGCATATTGCACACCCACGTTCAAACTAGTTTCCTCCCAATTTGTGAAATTGGCTTCAAATGAACTTATATGAATAGTTTGTTTCTAATATCTGAGTATAATACAGATAAATATTATGCTAGTCTAATATAAAGTGTTGGCCCAAATGTAAACTGTTTTTGTTTTTTCTGTATGAACTCATAAAATATTTGTCTGTTGTGTTAATGAAATCTACGTTTTTGTTTCCAATTTCCTTTTCCTTTACTGTAATAATGATTTGATGTTGCCACCTATTTATGTTTAGTACTTGGTAAAGTTTATGTAAGAAGGTTAGACAGAGTTTAGAAGGAGGGTCGTGTGCTACTTTGTCTCTGAAATTTAAGGTTAAAACCAGATTTATAGTTTCAAATGAGCTGTTTGGCTAAATCTTATTCTGCTTTGATAAAAAGGACATGAATCACTCWGTAATTCATGCACACATACATGTGGTTTCTTCTTTGTTATTTTATGCCATGTACTTTAACGTAACAACTTTGGCTATTAGTTTAAACAATGTTACAGTTACCAAACAAAAAGCAAAARRAAAAAAAWTWAAMWAAAAAGTGGAGTAWTTTTTWTTGAKACAGRTGCTGCCTAACTGGTCAAAAACAAGTTTGGCTAAATTGTTTGTCTGCCAGCTATTTTCTCATTATTGAAAAACGACAACTGGGGTGAAGGAGGTTTCAGTTAAAATGTGATTTGGGAAATTCCCACTTCMCAGTACAACAGGGAAGCAGCAAAAAGAGATTTTACACGACAAAATTCGACAGCTACTTTTGAATCCCGTGGACCTCCACTTAGTAGTAGGATGCTGTCATTTCACAGGTAAAATGATGGATATGCATTATGGGGGATGTAGTTTATAGTAGGTCAATGTTGACTTCATAGCAACATGTTCTTATTTATTACATTAATATATCTTTGAAGCTCTCGTGGGCCACATAAAATGTTGTGGCGGGCCACAATTGGCCCACGGGCCTTGAGTTTGTCACGTGTTCAATTTAAAAAGTAAATACTTTATTGATGCCAAAGGGAAATTTCAATTTGGAACAATCCATTCAAAGGAGAACAGGTCCTGCAGCCAC